CTATTAATTATGGAATTATCTTTACAAAAACGAGTCACGCATACGTGTACTCATTTCATTTGGCGCGTCAAAAATCGTATCACGCGTACGTATCCACAATTAATCACGTCTTATTATTAATAAGATTGTTTTACCCGAAGTTGCGCGAACGCATACCTTGGTTTTAATTTCTGGAATCATAACTATATCACGCGAATGTTTACACAACCACGATAATTTATTAAGTCACCTTCATTGCAAAATAAAGAAAATAAAGGGGTGCGGCAGCCAAGCTAATGCCAAAAACAATATAACACGCTACTATCACTTTCAATTTTTGTCACTTTCTTGCTCTCTTGATCCTTTTTTTTAAATACAACATGATCAACTTGCATTTTTATTTAAAAGAGAGCAGTGGAGTATTACAGGCATATACGTACCTATCTGCAGCAAAATCCAACCAAATTACCAATTCAAGGCCTAACACATAGGAATCCATCTAACAAATGTCAATGGCCGAATAAAGGCCACAATAGAGCTGATGAAGTTCAAAAGCGACCATGAAAGAAGCAGCAGCCAAAACAGAGTATCCTTAAACCCAACTACACCGTGAGAGTCCCAGAAAAGTACTTCAAATGACAGAAAATGAAATCCCTATAGACAATCATCTTAATCCATTTTTGAAAGCTCTTGTTTTCACCTTTTTCTTTTAACTTTTGAACTTCGAATTTGTTTTCGATCCTTCTTTGTGCTTGTTTGTTCTTCAAATGTGTGCGTCAATGGACCAGGAAGGTCCGAATGAGAGGTGAGAAAGCGGGTGTGAGAAGAAGAGGGAATGGAGAAGAAGAAGGGAAGAGCTGCGTTGATTTTTTGCTAGAGGAGAATCTGTTCTCTTTGATTTTGAGAACCAGAAGAAGATGTCATAAAGGGGAGGGGAAGGCGTTGGCTTTTCCTTGCTAAAGGGGAAGGGTCTGTTTCTGGTTCAGCAAGAGATGTGGAAGAAGAATGAGGGAAGATGGCGCTGGCTTAAAGGAGCGGGTCTCATTTAGGTCTCTGCGGCTCTCCTTTTTTGTGTAGGCTAGCTCTATTTTAGATGTTAGGTACTATATATAGGGTAGAGATTAGGTTAGGGGTATGAGCCTAGGAATTATGGGCTAGAGAATTGGGCCAAAGACTAAAAAAATGGACTATAGGATTTATAAAGACGGGATAAACCAACCTAAAATTAATTCATCCTTCTAAAATTATGTACAATTATAATATAAAAATATAAAACTAATTATAATTAATTGAACTAAACTATAAAACATAAAACTATTTTTTGTGTTTTCAAGATTATATAAAAATAAAGATAAGGTACTATTTTTTTTATTTTTTTTTATTTAAGTTTATGAAAGATACGTAAACTAAAATATTTTTTGTAATTTTTATTTTTATGACGTAAATAAAGTAAAGAAGTCAAAAATAGTTGAAATAGCTATATTAGACCTAAATTAAATATTTACGTGCTAAGATATGGAAAATCTTGGGGAGGGTCAAAAATCACATGTCTACACACGCAGATTATTGTAAACATTGTCTTTTAGATTGAAGGTCTAGTTGCTCATGACTTGGTGACACCCTGTTATTTGGGGCTATCTTTCCGCATTGTATTTTGAGTTTAACTCCTATTATATAAAAACTCTGTATGAAAAAGCTTTTGGTTTATTTTTATGAAATATCAGAGTATTTTGTTGCCTAGTATCATCTATAGGTGTCATCACGACAGGTTAGAGTTTTGGGTCGTGACAATTACCTTTGCTTGAGCTAGTACTAGTAGAGTGAATGATTTTCCTATTGAAAATTATATTGTTGCTTGATATGTGTAATTTTTTTGATGAAAAATATTAATTGTGCTCATATGTTTATAGAATAAGGGTAATTGTTTTTATTGTTAATGTTGTTTTTACTAGTATAAATTTATTTTCTTTCTATACAAGAAGGTCTACTTATCTTATTGAATTGGTAAAATACATAAGTTACCCCCTAAACTATGCACCAAATTTCTATTACACACTTTCTGAGCACGAAAATTATCTTACACACTCAACTTTTTCAGAGTGTGTCTAATACACACCTCTTTTTTCTTGACCAGTTTAGAAAAATATGTGTAATGTCACGCACCAATAGGATGATGACACGCGTCATTATTATTTATTTATTTTTAAAAAATATTTAAAATTACTTTTATACCCCCAATTTAAAGAATCCTCTAACATCTCCATCTTCTTTTGCCTTCCGCCACCGTTGACACCACCGGAAAAAGCCATTATCGTCGCTTCTTAACCTTCACGCAAATTCAGTTTTTATAACAAACCCAAGACCAAGAATGGAAGAGATGAAACTAAAATTGTAACTCCTCTATTCCGCATTTTCTTTCTCCATTTTCAGGTCTCGTAACACAACCAAACAAAGCAAATCAAAGTCAGATTTTCGTTTTCATAAATTAAACAACTTCACTGCGAATAAAATCTCAAATCTTTCTTTATATGACGAAATTGAGTTGGGAATTTTATAATTTCAGTCGTTCTCATGAAATACAAAAAAATATTATGTAAAGATTAGATGTTTATATTGGTTTTAATGATTGAAAAGGAAGCACGAAAAGTTTGGAAGCNAAGATTTTATTAAAGTATACAAATTATTTATACGGTAAGAAAAAAACTAAAGAATCAGTAAAAAGATATTTTAATAACAATAATAATGAACTCATATTAATATTTATAAATCGGACAAACAATTACCTTATACGTAAATATTACTACAACATTTAGATATAATGTGTTCAAACAATTAAGAAAATACTTTTGTATGATTAATATTTGAATTGAGTACAATTAGTTTAAGTTTGAAAGCATAACATAATTTTTTGAAAATGCGGTCCAATTTAGAAAATAGAATGATAAAAAAATATTTGAATTTGAGATGAGAAAGTTATTTAATTTTTATCTATATTATATTAGAATGAGTGTGATATAAATATATATTAAATTCAATCAAGATAATAAAAATTCACATGACAATGTAATAATATTAGGAATTGAATAATATAATATCAAAAATAAAGACTAAATAGAGAAAAAAATAAAAATTCATATTTTTTATCATAGAGAAAAGGGGTAAAACTAATTTAAATTTGAGATAAGAAAGTCTTTTATATTGTGATAAGAAAAGCCATAATATGGGTAAGTTCACGTAACTCAAGTTTAATAGACAAAATCAAAAACTAAAAATATTGAATAATAAAAATAAATTAGAGATAATGTGAGGATATTTATAAATCATGAGTTTAGAAAATAAAATAAAGTAAATATATAATACATAAGAATATTATTAAAATTTAAATAATTTAAAATTTTCAAGCAATATTTTTAAATCAAAATAAATATTTATTTTATGATTAAAAAATTATATATTTATCTATATTATATTAAAGAATAGTAGTTGATAATGATATTAAATAAAGTTACAAGTTAATGAAAAGCCACATAAAACGTAGTAAGACTATATATCAGATTAAAAAATAGCAAAATTACGTTAAATTACTATTCGAAATGAAAGGAAAAAACTATTTGAATGTGAGATTAGAGTTCTTAAAACTATGATGAGAATACTCAAACTATGGATAATACCACAAAATTGAAGTCTTATTTATGAAAAATAAAATAAAAAATATAAAATAAAAAATAAATTTCTATATAGGCAATTTTACTAATAAAAATTAAAAATTAAATTTGTATCTTAAAACTAAAAGAGAAAGAAAATTTATATAAGTAAATAATATGACAGTGAAAATATTGCTACAATATTCAGATATAATGTGTTCATAATAATTATAAAATATTTTTTTGTGATTAAAATAAAATTTTAATATAGGTAATTTTACTAATAAAAATTAAAAATTAAATTTGCATCTTAAAGCTAAAAAGAAAGAAAATTTAACTGCAGCTAATACAAAAATAATTATAAGAGAACTCAATACATTTGGAACATAATAATCAAATAAATTAATTCAAAGTTACAATTTAAAATAAAATATGATATTATTTTGGTTATAGGTGAAATAGTAATATAAAAACTAATTAAAATATTGTAGTAGAGAAGAGAGTGAATAAAAAATAGAGGTAGTGTGAGGATACTTATACTTTAAATTAAATAAATTAAATAATTAAAATATTTTTTAAAATATTACTTATAAATTTAAATGATTAAACAATTTCGAATAAGAGGTTACAAACATAAAAATATACCAAATTTCAAGAATAAAATATTTATATTTATTAAGAACTATTAAAGGATAATAAGCAAGACATTAATTTAATTATTAAGCTAATAAAAACTTATATGATAGTATAATAATATTAATTAATAAATAATACAATAACTATAAGAAAAGAACAAAACAAAAAAAAGAATTTGCATAAAAATGATGTGATAAATAAGACATATTTGACTTTCAGTCTTTGAGATAAAAACAAAGTGATAGTAAGAATTTTGTTAAAATAATATTATTTAATGTGCTCAAACAAGACTGATCACAACATGAAATGTTTAGTATACTTTAATATTGAAATGAAATGCAAGTACTACAACTAAGGATTATGCTAATACAAATATATATAAAAAAATAAGTTGTCCACACTACGAGATTTGAACAATAATTTCATATCATTCTTTATAATTAATATCTAATGTTATATAATTTTTATCTCAGAGGTTTATATTTTAAGGTTATTCGCACATGATTCAAACAACCTACATCACAATTTGATATGATTTTTGCTCGGGCATCGCGCGGGTACTAATACTAGTAAATTTAAAGTGTAAATCTAATTTTTGCATACTATTATTTATATTTAGTTTACGTATTAAAATTCTTGTAATTGAAATAAATTTTAAAATAAAATATAAAAACAGTAGTTAAAGAAAACCTGTGTAAATGATTACTACTTGTAAAACAAAAAGTAGTATTTCCCCCTCTCTTACGACGATTAGAAATTAGAATAATTAATCTTTCTATGGGAAGTTTTTGGAAGTGCAGCCATATGGAAGAGTGAAGACGATCATATCCCAGATCTCCCAGTCTTCAACTTCGACAAGTACGCTGAGAACTCGAAGTTGGTTCCACTGAATCCCTACGGTAACCACCATAATCATCTGTTTTCTTGATTGTTCTTGAAAATGGTAGCAACAATGGAGGGCGGGTTTTTCGGCTAGTGCTGGACCGCTGGTGTGTGCATTGGGGTTTTTCTAGAGAGCTTGCATTGTTAGTTTGATTGGTTTAATTTGATCGGCTTTTCTCTAATCCCTATTTTTATTCAATTCTGCTTCGTGTTGAACAGTTGTAACGTACAGAAAATCACTCATTTCTGCTGAGCCAAAAGAAGAGAGTGTCGATAAACCCATGGCGATGGCGTCAAGGCCCGGTGTTCCTAAGTCGGAAGCTATTTCCAAAGGCTACAATTTCGCTTCTACTTGGGAGCAGGTTCCCCCCCTCTCTTTCCCATTTTGTACAATTCTTATATTTTAGGTCTAATTCTCTGGAACATCAATCAACGCTCCAGATCTATGTGAACGCTTTACCAAATTTTCAGTTCTCTCATAGATCTGTGACTGTATGACAAATTTGAAGCGCATTTCAATCTTCTCACTCCCCAAATAAAAGAAGAATAATGAAGTGCTGTTTGGTGTAATGCTGAGTGTCACTGACATCGATGTGTTACTGGACTTATTGGATTCCTTACAGCTTTAGAAAATACCTTCCAGCAAATCTTTGTGTAAATCAAGTCCTCTTATTTGAAGAGGGATGGACCTAGTGCATTAGATATGCTTTCGTACAAACCCAATAGTTTTAGTTCAGACCCTGTAAATGTGCTAAAAGATCCACTAAATTAGTATTAAAAATTGATTTCGGACCCAATAACTCAAATGGCTTGTGCTAGAATTCTGAACTCGAACCCATAATGTTCAAATCGTGGATCTGCCTCTGCCACTTAACTATCTTTTCATGTTTGTTCTCATTCTAATGTTGCACTGCTTCTCTTTTTTCTCGTATTACCACTGGCCAGCTAGCTGTTTCCTTATCTGGTGACTCTTTAGTTTTAGCTTATTCTTGGAATTTCTAATGGAAAATCACTATATTAGTAATCACCTCCATCTTGGATTTGAATCGTTTGAGTTTGCGGCCCTCACCATGTCAATATACATTGTTTTTACTGAATTTCCTCCCATTTGTATGTACTACATGTGTGTGTTTGTCTACTGAATTTTATTGCTTTTGGTTAACTAATTCAGCAGTAGTGGCTCTCTTTATGTTATATATCCAACGACTTTAGCTAATTTTCGTCTTACAGAATGCTCCATTAACAGAGCAACAACAAACAGCCATACAAGCACTTTCCCATGCAGTTGCTGAGAGACCTTTCCCGCCCAATTTGGTGAATTTTTCATTCTTGGTTGATTTGAAAGTATCAGCTATCTCAAATTAAGTTACCTGAAATATATTTTTATTTCTAGTCCCAGGATCAAGTTTCTGGACAGGATAATAATCTCTCTGTCTCAACAAAGCTCAGTTCTCTGGAAGATTCAGGGGCCATTGAAGCAGTCCTAGTGAATACAAATCAGGTCAGTTACAAAAAAAGAGCAAAGAACTTTTAAAATGTTTAGTTGGCACGTCCATTATTTCTTACCTCTGCTATTTCCAGGTTGTAGATCTTAATATTCCATATTTTAAATATGGGATCGTGAATGATTTTTTCCCATATAAAAAAGGGTGCACGATCAGCTAAATATTGGAAAGGAATTAGAACTATCACATCTTGTAACCATAATAAGCTGTCTATATGTGTGTTTAGAGCAACAAGTGCTAAAATATAGAGTTGATCTTTGTGTAAGACTAGAAGTTGTAGTGTCTTGTGCTTGGCAACATATCAGTCACACATAACTGCTAAACCAATGAGCTGGAACAGAATGCATAATAATTGCTTGCTAAACAGCTCCATTTTTTGGCTTACTTAAAGAATATGCCTCTCATTTTGGTCCTGATGATTGTAATTAACTGGAGAGGAAACACCTTATGCCAAGCAAAAAATAACTAAAACTTGCATTTAGTGAGAATTGACAGTGGTACTCAATGTCTTCTGGGTTAGAAATACCTTGATTGCAAGTGATGTATTCAGATATTGGTCTGAAATGACCATGTGTCTATTTATGGCCTTGGCCCTGCCTGCCTGAGTGGAGCAGTATTTAAATCTATATATCAGAAAGACATGCAAAAAGGAATTTGTTTTTAGAACTCTCCATATTTGAACTTTAGTGTTGGCCTTCACCTTTCCATGCAACAGAGGAGGTTTTCGGCTCTTAATTTGCATGCATATGAAATGATAGAGATAGCACTATATGAAATGATAGAGATAGCACTAGAAGTTCTTTCCCTTTTTCATTTTATTTTGTAGGTTCTCTATCTTTTGTTAAGGAGATTTTTCCATTGTTAATGAATTTAATTACCTTTTCACAAAAAAAATAAAATTTCTGTATCGAGGACATCCAATTATATATACATACAACAACAACAAACCCACTGTAATCCCACAAGTGTGGTTACGCAGACCTTACCCCTACCTTGTGAAGGTAGAGAGGCTGTTTCTAATTATATATACATACAGTTAACTAAAATAAGAGGCTATTTCTCTAGTTTACAAAATCATTTTCCACCCCTTTCAAAAGCCCTCCTACTTCTCTCCTTCCAAGGAACCACATGAAAACTAATGGAGCTACATCCCATGCCGCCCACATCTTCTTCTCTTTATTGTAAAGCCCTAGCTAGTCATATGAGGAAAGTCTCGTTTCCCTTATGTAGCTTTTTCCTTTTCCCGCGCCTTTTCCTGTTCAGCAGAATTAAAGTTCTCCATGGATCTTGGTATCGTCCCCTTTGCGTCAAAAATGTTAAAAGTTAGAACGGCGCAACTTTGAGACTATGGGCAGTGTAGTAAGAAGTAATTAACATCCTCAGCCTCCATTTCATACTTGTAGTACTTTCTGTGTATATTCAGGCCTCTCTGTTGAAGAATTTGCTGTGTTGGTATTGCTCATATGTCACTGTCTAGCTGAAGCAAGCCACTTTATAAGGAGCTTTAGTTTTCCAAATTTGTCTCTGTGGCAACTTTGTGTTGCATTCATGTATAAGCTTGAATGATAAATATGCTTAGTTTAGCTTTGTAAATGATGATGGAAATAGCATCCTTGGTAATCCTGTTCTGTATTGCTACTTCAACTTGATATTTTATCTTTTCCCCCGATGTGCTGTTTTGTTGACCAGTTCTATAAATGGTTTGCGGATCTTGAAGCAGCCATGAAATCAGAGGTTAGTCTTTAGCTTGTTATATCTCTTCCACATCTTCCAAAAGCTACTTGTTGATGTGTGCCCAAAATTACATAAGCTTCCTCTTTTACACTTACTAATGAAAAAATTGTATATGCTTTCTTTCTCTTATGTAGACAGAAGAAAAATATCAGCATTATGTCAACACCTTAACAGAGCAGATTCTGACCTGCAATATTATACTTCACCAGGTATTCTGAGAAGAAAAGAATGCTCTTATACTCTTCTCTTAGGCCTTTCTGTTGATGCAGTTCATCTATTCTATGCTTGTTTTCGACATGCACTTGCCCTTAATAATGGCTCTCTCGCAGGTGGATCAAACACTTGACTTATTCAATGAGCTGCAGCTGCAGCATCAAGCAGTGGCAACAAAGACTAGAACTCTTCATGATGCGTGTGATAGACTGGTGTGTCAACCCATTTCTCTTAGCCTGTGTGGTTATCTTAGCAATAGATTGTACTTCACTGTATTACTCTTTTCAACATTTTGTAGAACGTAGGAACAATTTAATTGCATGATTAGAGGATACGCTTCTAAGTGATGGAGTTCATTGTAAAAAAGATATTGGTTTGCATCAGTCTATGATGCCGAAAGTCCTTACCTCCAATCTACTCTTTTGTTGGATTTTAGCCTGGTGTGTTTAATAGATGCCAAACATCTTCAATTGCCACCTAGCACCAAGTAATGCATTTTTTGTTTTTTCTAGCTCAAGCTGCTGTTTGGCATATAGCATTGTCTAGTTGTAATTCATGTCAATATTGTGTATTTGCGATGTCCATTGGTTTGCATTTTAAATTAGGAAGTCTCCCTGTCAGTGTCTAATATTAATGGCCATGTGGTGTAGAGGTAAAAAGGTAATAATTAACACAGGAAGCAAACATTGAATACTCTTGCTTGTGCAATTTGTTGTTTCTTTTGCAGCTTTTGGAGAAGCAGAAATTAATTGAGTTTGCGGAATCACTTCACAATAAGCTCAATTACTTCGATGAATTGGAGAATGTAAGGTCCGACTGCCATTTATATTGAAAATATTTCATTGATATCCCATGTTTTTTTGTACTGGTATCCACAGTGGTCTAGCTATGCCTATGCTGAACTGGGTATGGTTCTGCGTCAGCTTTATTTTTTGAATTGATTTTTTTTTTTGAATTGAGTTCTGCGTCAGCTTTATTCTGAGTGAAGAATTCATGCTATCTGTATTTTTTATGCTTTGATACATTAGTGAGTTAATATACCAAACTGACTTGAACTATGGCAAAGCAGCTTTAAGAAACGAGAGCTTTCTCCGTAAAGAAATTCATTTTTTTTTCAATTAGATTTTGTTCCCCCACAGCCACTCACCGAAGTGCTTCAGTCTTTGTAACTTAAGCTTTGATTCAGGATGGTTTTCTTTCTCATGTTATAAATGAGTCATCCAAAGCTAGTCTATCTTGGCTGTGTCATTCTAGTGCTTTGGGATTATTCTGATATTTCTTACTTAGCAAGTTATTTATTTAAGGTGGTTTTTTAAATCTTGGCTCTTCTTCTATTGTACTGAAAGCCTTTAACAGCTCTTTTCTCTCCCATTTTTGTGTTTGGTGGTTTCTAAAGGAAAAACTTTTCACTTGTGATATTGAGAATGAGAGTTCCTTCTTTTAAATGCCCTTCAGAAATGGAATAGCTTTTTAACAAAAAAAAATGGAATAGCTTTTTCACCCTCCACTGTGGATATTCTCGATTTAATCACGACCATTAGCCTAAAAGTTTTCTAATGCTTTTTTGTTGAATTACATCCTATTTGAGCATTATATCAGCTTGATTTATCTTGTGCTCAATCTTGCTCTTCTTCTTCTTCTTGAACTCTAAAAATGTCACATATCCAGTTTTCTGTTACCCTTTTTTCTGCGTTAACTCCTCGTGGTTGTCTTGTACACCTGTTTGCAGGTTGCAACCGCTTTTTATTCTCCTAGTATGAGCGTTGGGAGTACAAATTTTCTTCCATTACTTAAGAGACTCGATGAGTGTATCTCGTAAGTGACATTGCATCTCATATTACTGCATTGAGATCTATGAATTCTACAAAACACAGTGATGATGTATAATCCATACTTTTCTTGGTTATTTGTGATGTTTATCATGTGAACAAGTAATGGGTTCACAGGTTTCTTCTAGGAAAGTAAATTCTTTTGTCAAGATTAAGTCCTGTTAAATTAAGCTGGGGTAAATCTTTGCATAAGAGCACAAATAACCTTTGTGTTTCTTTTGTACGTGACTGAAGATATGTTGAGAGTAACCCACAATATGCGGAGTGCAGCATTTATTTGGTCAAGTTTCGACAACTTCAGGTACTTAAAAGCATTGACATAAAAAATTTGTAATCTTCCAAATATGAAAATATATTTCTTTATAGAATGAGCATGGCTTATGAAATTCTGGGATATGAGAATTCTAACCCCATTGTGCTTTCTCTTTCTCTGTGTCTGTTTGTCCGTTTTCCTCTTGTAACCAGTCTCGAGCTCTAGGAATGATTCGCTCTCACGTTCTTTCAGTACTTAGAAGCACTTCTTCTCAGGTAAATCTGCTTTATGTTTCATTTTTATATGCAGAACGATCTTTGACTTGCAGATGAATGGTTGATTTTCCTGAGATATTTCCGTTTGATTAGGTTCAGGCTGCAATACGAAGCAGTGGTGGTAGCAAAACATCTTTGGCCGAGGGTATAGAGGCATCTATAATTTATGTACGCTTCAAGGCTGCAGCAAATGAGGTAACCTGGAACTTCTCGTTTCTTTTTAGTTTATAGAAAGTCTATTAATGGGCCGTATGAGGGTGAGTATCACAACAACTAGCTTTGCTGTGTAATCCATGAACCAAATGATCTTAGTTATCTGCAGCTCAAGCCTATCTTGGAGGAAATTGAAAGCAGAACACCTAGAAAAGAATATATTCAACTTCTTGAAGAATGCCACAAACTCTACTGTGAACAGCGCCTTTCATTGGTGAGTCATAAGCACCTTTGGGTTTTATAGCTACTCTTTTCTTACGTATCAGAATTTATATATATGTATATATATATATATATATATATATGACCTTTTTCTTGGTCATTTTTTTCCTTCTCTCATTTTAGTACTCATTCTGATTCATTTAACCCAGATAAGAGGTATAGTGCAACAGCGGATCTCTGAATTTTCCAGGAAAGAAGCATTGCCGTCTTTGAGTAGATCGGGATGTGCATATTTAATGCAGGTACATTCGAATGACATCAGTTCTGTTCTTTNGGGGGGGGCATCAGAAGAAGTAGAAAAGGACACAATTGAAATTTGACCTGCTAGTCTTGATAGTCATATGTGCGATCCAAATTCATTTTTCTTTTTATTTGACAGGATGAATTCAAAGTAATTAGTTCTAAATTAGAGAGCCACGAATTAACTTTTCTTTTAAAAGTTTAGCTCATCTTAATGTGGAAGAATATTTCCTCTAATTGGATTTAGTATGAATGATGCTAAAAGTATAGCAACTTTGGTTTCTTTGAGGAAGGATCAGAACTTCTATATGTTTTCTAGTGAATCAAATCACTATTCCCAAAGTTATTATCAGAAGTTGATTCTAGAAAAGGTCTTGCTGAAGCTTATTAGGGTAAAAATTGATATATATATATATATAAAGTTTTGCCATTCTGTCTCTCTCACAGAAGTCTGTCTATCTTCACTTCAATCATCGTAGTTCAATCGATCAAGTACGGGAGAAATTAGCACTACTTGGTGAAATAGGTTCTTTTAGAATCAATTTCGAACCATCTGCTAGAGGTTCTAACAACCCAAACGATCCCACTACATCAGGACCCTTTCGACGTTGCACAAAAGCCATTACTTCACGTTCAGCTAGCACTAAAAATGCCATATCTATATCTATATCTATATCTTGGACATTTTAATATTAGTGTAAAAGTGAGATGAACAAGTCTCCATACTTTATCTTTGATATCTTAATGCAGGTGTGTCAGCTAGAGCATCAACTCTTCAATCACTTCTTCCCATCATCTTCAGAGGACATTTCAAGTTTGACTCCTCTTGTAGATCCTCTGTGAGTTGCCTAAGTTCTCTTGTGGGTTTCTTTCTGCATTTGGACCTGTTTGTGCTGCTTTCATTCCNTCCTCTGTGAGTTGCCTAAGTTCTCTTGTGGGTTTCTTTCTGCGTTTGGACCTGTTTGTGCTGCTTACTCATTCCTTTCCAGCTTCTTTTCTGATTTGCTTTTTCTTTTTCCCTCTTTTTCCTCGTCTTGTTTGTGGTGGGCAGGGGAAGGGGGGAGGGGGGTTGGACCATCTATATTGCTGTCATGTGCTTATAAGCAAGAGAGCCAACATTGCAAAATGTTTATGCCTGTAAGGCTTTGTCAATTTGGTAACTTGTGCTGTTCTAAGACCTACCTAGGCCAGAGTTGCTATCAATGCATACAGGGCATAGCTTCTTGGTATCAAGTGGATGTAAATGTTTCCAGACACATTATTTGTGCGGTAATGAAAATCAGTGTTAACTATGAGGCTGCCCAATAGCTTAGTGATCGTCACTTTAGATCTTGCCGCAAGCACAAGATTAGTTCCTAGTTAGGAACTTGAAGCCTTCCATGGAATCTACGCTTATCTATTCCTTAGAAAGAGCTGTGACAGATTTCTCATCTGGTTTAGATTTGTAGGTTGCTTCAACTGCTTTTTTGTGTCCTTAAGTCTTCGTGATACATATGTGGAGGTCACATGTGAAAGTTATAGTTACTACAAGGAAAACCAGGTCCGTTAAATATAAGCCTTAACTCAAAAGGTGTGAAAACATTTGTTTAAGTGGAGAAAAGGTAGAGGGGCCCGGGATTTTCCACCGAGTTTCGAACTGTATGCCGGCTGGCCTTTGGAGATTTCTCGGTTAGGTGGGGAAGCAGTTTCCTGTACCTGGAAATTAAAATCATGTAGGTGGGTAAGGAAACCAAATTCTATCAATTACTACATGTGAATTACCTCTTTACTGAGATTTAAATTACTCTCCCGTGGGTGGATATGAGATATCCCTTAAACCTGCACCTTTCTTTTGGTTCATAAATTTTCCTTTTTCCTTCTCTGAATATTTTTACATTAACTTATATGTACATCCTTCCTGATTGTGGGGGCAGAGAGAAACAAAGCCATGCTCTTTTTAATCCATCGAAATTAGACCTAGATTTAATCTTCATCATTTTTTAAGTCTTTCTGGATAAGTTAATGTGATTAGATAATATCAATGGCAAAGAGTTACGGTTATTGATAATTAATCTAATGTCAGATTTTAAATCTTGGTAAGTTTAAGTAATGGAACATGTAATTCACTGTTATATAAAAAAGTAGTGGAACATGTTATGGGTTGCACTTGCTAACTTTACTTTTTTCTTTGCTCCCTTCTATTAACAAGAGATACACAATCAGATATCTCTGTCTCGTGCATTCTCAAGCTATATTTCTGTTTAACCAAGTGAAGAAGCATATCTTTCTNGCTAACTTTACTTTTTTCTTTGCTCCCTTCTATTAACAAGAGATACACAATCAGGTATCTCTGCCTCGTGCATTCTCAAGCTATATTTATGTTTAACCTAGTGAAGAAGCACATCTTTCTTGGAACCTTAGGGATGGAGTTCTATGTGGAAATTCAACCTCCTCCCTAACCAGAAGCTTCTGATAAAATGATTTAACAGAAAATACCCCGTTATTTTCTGCCCCCCCCCCCCCACACACACACACTTCCATACGTCGTGGTTAGCTTATGGTGTTCCTTGTGTGTGAAGCAACTCAACTAGGTTTTGGAATTCTGCCACTTCCCAGTCCTGAAAGTTCCTTGTAAACCTCAAATCCCAAAAAACTTCTCCATTTTGTATCATCTGGACTTGTTGGACTGTCATTTCCTTTTGGCATGAAATTTTGAAAATGTTTGAGAATGCAAGTCTCAGGATATTGTCCCCAAGTCTCATGATATGAATCTTCTATGCATAGCATCTAAATTCACGTGCTCCTGAGCCTGACCCATCTCTTGGTTGGTCCAGTTACTACAGTTTAATGAAGTATTGACCCGAGGATTTCTAGTTATATTATTTATATGCCACTGAAGCTGCTAGAACTTGAGCTTTATTCTTTTGATCATTAAACTTGAGCTTTATGTGAACCTTTAAGGTTTACGATTACCTCCGATGTGAACCTTTGGGTCCTACTACTGCAGGTGCACTTTCCTTTATGATACATTGCGCCCTAAACTTATTCACGAAACAAACCTGGATGTTCTTTGTGAACTGGTTGATATCCTTAAAGTTGAAGTTCTCGGAGAACAACTGAGCAGACGGGGTGAATCATTGGCTGGGCTGCGTCCAACTCTGGACAGGATTCTAGCAGATGTCCATGAGCGATTAACTTTTCGTGCTCGCACCTATATCCGTGATGAGGTAACTATTCAAAGTATTGCTTGGGCATTGTATTTAAATGCTGTATGGCAGCTTATTTGTGTTACTTGGATACGGGATCATATTATGCTAAACTTTGCTGTTATAATTTTACCACTTACTTCAATCTCTTTCTTGTTTTTTCCTCTCGATTTCTCCACTTAACCAGCACCCTCATTGATAGATGGATAGTGGCAAAGTAAGTTACTGGATAAATTTGGCCGTTTTTTCCTGGTGCATAGATTTTGGTTAGAAGTGGAATATTTGTTCATACTCAAACATAAGCAGTTGTATCTCATGGTATAAACTGTTGTCCAATAGCTTTACTTTTCAATTTATTGCTCTCTTCTTTAGAATGCTAATGGTTAATGTTGTGTCTTACTACTTTTTCGTTTTTCATAGTGCCGGGTCTATTTAATGGCTATCGCTTTTGCTTTGCATCTATTTTCTGGTTTTCATGATGCTGTTATTTTTCCTATGGTATCTGTTGGTGGTACTGATTTTGTCTCTTTCCGTCTTCCTGAGCTGAGGGTCTTTCGGAAACAGCCTCTCTGCTCCGTCGGGGTAGGGGTAAGGTTGCGTACACACTACCCTCCCCAGACCCCACTAGTGGGATTTTACTGGGTCGTTGTTGTTGTTGTTATTTGCACTATCTTCCATCGATGTCATAAATAGTACCTTGGAACAAATTGACCATAAGTGAAAATAAGGGATTTTCTTGATTTGGGTAGATTCACGTTTCTAGGTCACTAATTCGGTCTATTTCTATATCATTTTTTATCTTGCTCTTCCAGAAAAGTAGTTTGTAATTACTGAAAATCTCAATCTGGGAGTAGTACAAAATCGAAGACGGAAGAAGATTAAACAAAAATAGTTGCAGGATTTTTGTAGGGGCGACAGTGCTGGAGCAACGGCGGTAGGATTGTATATTGTGGTTCTGTAAAAATAGTTTTAAAAAATTAAAATAAAAAGAAAAATGGGATTTTGAGCTTCTCAGTTTTTTGGCCATGTTAACTTTATGTGTTTGAGAGGCACATAATGACTGAAGTTGGAGTATCTAATAGGTACAAGTCTCGGTTGCGGTAGCTAAGTGAAAATAATGGGCAACTTTAAGGAACCATCTATGTATTCTGCCTTTATAAATAGACACCAAGGTTATGCGACCCCGGTACAAAGACATAAAACATTCTGTGTACAGTGAAATATGCAACCCAAAACCCCAAAGAAAAGAGAAGATCCCAGCGAAAGGCCTTGCAATTCTTTGTCATTACTCACTCATTACAAATTTGTGGAAAATGAGCCCTATCCATCGTTATGAGGAAACTTTGCGTGCTTTCCTTATTTTTGCTACTGTCGTATTTGATATTTGTTTGGAGTTTATTCGGTTCCCAGTCTAATCTTTTCTCCTTCTTCCTGCCATACTTTCATTTCTACTCTGTGCGTTGTTTTTATTGAATTAAATTATGCAAAGTGGTATGAGTTTCAAATGTTTTATCACGTTAGCTTGAGATGAGTTCAAACGGGAAACATGGTTAACAGCTGTCGCCAACTAGTTCGTACTGAAACAGTTGTGATACGAGTTTCAATAGATTTGAATGGAGATGGAAAACGTTTTTTATTAGGGGAATATGATAAGTAGGGATTGATAAGAGAAGGAGATTAGGCCATATAAGCTGGGATAACTGGACTAAGAAGTGCATATTTATGTTTGCTTTCTATGTGCTTGAACTTCTTCACAAGCAACCGCTGGTCTGCAAATAATGTGATCATGCCTTCTTTCCCCGCTTTGTTTTCAGATTGCAAACTACCTTCCTTCAGACGAGGATTTGGATTACCCAAAAAAGTTGGAGCAATCTGTGTCAGCAGAACTAAATTCACCATCTGTAAGTGCCAAGCTCTTTATCCTGTGACGGGTATTCAGTTGACTTCTGTAACCTATATCTTTAGAGGAAGTACGAGCTAGGATGGCCTTTATTTTTATCTTTATCCTTTTTTTCTTTGTAATTTTTTGGTGGAGAAGTTTGCATTCTTGTATGGAGGTTGTAGTTTGATATATTTTCCTATTACTATTCTTTAATCAATATCTTGCTTAACCGTTCTTGACCTGTGATTCTTGTTTTATGACGTTTATTGCACAGTACGAAGCAAAATATATTGAAGTTCCAAGGTGTGAAAATTGAAAATAAGTGGTCTCATGGAATTTGTAATTTAAGCTTATTTTCTTTATTATTTGTTTTCTGTATTTTAAGATGAGACTTTAGGATTTATGTTAGTATGGTGCTTTTTGTTGGTTATTTTGAATAGCTTGAGGGTCTGGGTTAGGAACCTTCTCAAAGATCTGGGCATTTCAACTATATGATTGTAACTATGCATCTTGATGTGATGAGAACAGGATTTTTATTTCTTGATTTTGAGTTGCTACTTTATATGAGGAGGCTTGACTCTTGGGAGTCCTAATACATGCATGTACTAAACTATTTTTGCCATCAACTTCTTGGCGTATATATATATATATATATATAAACGCTTTAGAATATGTTGATTTATGTAACTTGAAATTGTTTTTTGCAGATATTCTTTCGCTGTCTCTTTGCTGTTAAACATGCTTTTCTGCGATTTTGCACTATATTCTGTGTCTCTTTACTTTTTTGCTATTTTGCACCATATTCTCTGCTTCTCCTTATTTTATATTTGGTGCAGACTGAACAAAACCCAGATGTTTCCGGAACCTGGTATCCACCATTGGAGAAAACCATCTCATGTCTGTCAAAACTGTACTGTTCTCTAGAATCAGCTGTTTTCACTGGATTAGCCCAGGTAAGCAGTTACTTTTGCTACCACTACCCCTTCTAATTTTAGTTAGATGTTTCTGGATCCTTAATTCCTATTTTTCTTTCTCAGGAAGCTGTAGAGTTCTGCTCTTTATCCATCCAAGTAAGTTTCTTTTGTTGAAGTTCATGTGTTTGACTGTTCCGCTGATTATGCTGTTGAAATTTGTAATGCTGTATTCGTCATTTTTTGTCAATATGCTGTTGGTTATTGCTAAACTTTAAATTCCTTCAGAAAGCTAGCAAACTTATTGGCAAAAGATCGTCATCGATGGATGCGCAACTTTTCTTGATAAAGCATCTACTCATCCTTAGAGAGCAGGTTTCTCTTACTTGCTTTTGAAATTCCTAGTTCCTTGGCATAACTGCAGGTTTCTAACTTAAGATGCTTTCCAGATTGCCCCATTTGACATAGAATTTTCAGTCACACACAAGGAGCTTGATTTTTCGCATTTACTGGTGAGTATTGAGAATCTACTATTTCTGTTGGTATTCATTTCTTCAGGTTCCATCACTTCTCTGCTGCAAATGTATTTTTCTCTGATAATTACATTATCTTGAATGAAACAGACAATGCTATTAAATTGTTTTATTTTCTTATAAGGCAGAGTTTGCTCGTTCCACTATGCAATATTAGACTGAAGTCATCTCTTATGGAATTAAGAAGAAATGCAAAGTTGACTTCAGTGAATTACACTAACACATTTGATCTCCTTTTTCAAGTTTGGACCTATCATTATTTTCTTCACACTTGATTTAATTCTTTTGGCAACTCTGGGTGACACTGCTAGTGGACGAATGCTGCATCAGACACATTTGTGTACTAGAGTTAACTTTTCCTTTGATTGTCAGTAAACTTGAAGCATAAGTCTTTTCAGATCAAAAGTTTAGTTAATTTAGAGTCAAACTTACAGATTACTTCCTTCACAAATTTTGGCTAAGTCAGATGGTACAAATGCTCGAGTGACAAACTATCCCATGTATAAGATTCTGATCCTATCTAGGATCATGGGAAGGCGGTGGTGTACTTATATGCATACCATGTAACCTGTAGATGAATAGTTCTCAGGTACAACATATAGGGAAGATAAAATGGTAGTAGGATAAGGCCAGTCCCAAACAGAGGTGCCTTCAATCTCCCTGAAGATCCGGTAGTTGAGAAAAAGAATCTCTTCAGTCCAAATGACTCTAGCTTGAGTAAAGATCTTGCTCTGGTGTGCCAAAAGAGTTGTTCTGTCCTATACATAAGCAGGCATATTCTTGTCCAATAATATTCTCGTATTTCTTTCAAGCCAAATGCATCACAAAATCCCCGAACATTGATAGTCTCCACAAAGTTTTCTCTTGCTAGAATATACCAAAACCCAAAAGTTGATACAAAGGACAAGCTTAGAATGCGGGACAACTGCTGCACCCAAGATGCTGAATGATCTCTCTTACAATTCTTTGCAAAAGAACAATGTGAAAGTAGCGGGAATTCAAGTGTATAAATTTTCCGCGAAGAAAATGGTCTTGAACTCATTGGACTTCCTGAATGAAGAAATTTGAAGACCGAAGCAGAGGGGATGCTCTTTCATAACCCCCATTATTGTGAAACTCATCAAGGGCTTCCATGAGTCCATGTTAAGGTATCCCAGTATGTCCGAGAATGGATCATTGTAGCCTAAGCAAATATTGTCTTATCCCTTGCCCCGGGGGCTTTGGTCTAGTGGAGAAGTGCAACAGGTGATATGGGTTAGGCGCACATCGCAGGTTCTAACCTTGCTGCAAACAAAAGCCTGATATTTAAGTAGAGAAGGATAAAGGGGCAGGCCCATTAACCACCGAGCTTCAAACCCTACGTCACTGACCCTCAGGGATTTCTCGGGTATCAAAGAAATTAAGATTGTCTAATCTCCTTTCAAAGCCATTCACCGTCTTCTATTCTGCAATAGAATGGACCATCAGTTTAAGCCTTCAATTCTCATGCTACATGTGCACCAATCTGTTAGCTTTAGATTAATGTTTGACTGACGGTTAGATTCTGAAACTTTCTTGTATATTTGTTATAATTTTCCAGGAGCATCTCAGGCGGATTCTAAGGGGTCAGGCGTCAATCTTTGACTGGTCAAGATCAACTTCATTCGCTAGAAATTTATCTCCACGAGTATTGGAAAGTCAAATTGATGCCAAGAAGGTATATGCTCCAGTTAGTTTTCAGCAGTTTTCGCTTGAGTGACTTTTAGTATATACCTTTCTTGGCCTTTTGGCTAAGATCAAGTGGAGTATCTGTTCTTATCAGTTTAATATCTGATATGTGGGCCATCAGTTCACATGATGTAGCTCAATTTTTTGAGGAGGAGAGTCCTCTACGGTAGCTTGCTATCGGGTCACTCAAGTGTTGTATTGGTGCTGCAAAAACAAGAGTGACTTTTAGTATCGATGGAAATGGATTGTAGTTATTTTTCCCTCTCATCTCATTAAGAAGGATTAATCTTCATGCATTTAGTTTGACTCTTCTGTGTAAACAATTATTATCACCTTCTCTAGCCCTCTTTCTTTCCTATGAAACAATGGTTTCAACATTTACATGGAAAGATATGACATTATCAACCCTCATCCATGGAAAAAGTTGGGACAGGGTCAAATAAATGGCTATATAAATGATGAATTCAATTTTTTTAGAAGTTTAATTTATGGTAAAAAAAACTTCTTTAAATACAGGAACTGGAGAAAAGCCTGAAAGCTACATGTGAGGAGTTCATCATGTCAGTGACTAAGTTGGTCGTGGAACCATTGCTTTCTTTCGTGACAAAGGTTAGTTACGTTTTCCATTTACGTCTTTTTTTTTCTTTATTTGCAGAAGCAGTTTCCAACATTTTCAACTTTGCTCTTTCAATAATTAATGATTTCTGGCAGAATACATTTTCTTCTCCAGATAAAAGAACATTTTCTCCTTCCCACGTGTCTCTTTCGTTGTAAACGTAATCATTGCACTAGTTATAGATATTTAGTCGAGTTCTCATGATCTTTCAAGTGCTCAGAAGCTGCCTCCTCCTTGTATACTTTTAGCTTCTTTCATGCATTTCTATCTAATTTATGTACCTGCATCTTTTTGTGATTACTTTTGATGTAGAAACTTACCAGCTGTCAATACCTTTGAAACTAGAGTTTGAGACATATTACTTGTCTCTTTTTTGTTTTATAACTTCCATTTAAAACAGTTGTAGCTTTGTAGGATGTTTTATAAGAAAATGCAACACTTTGTCCAGTTAACTGCCTCCAGGCTGCTGGGGGTAGGACAGAGGGGTCAAACTTGGAAAGATTATGTGTCGTGGATGGACTGTCTCTCTCCATGTTCTTTTTACCTTCCTAATAGCTAATACAGAGGAGAAAAGTGTAATTTTACTAATATCAGTCCCAATTGCATGCCCTAACTGCAACAACTACTATGCCTTATAGCCCGTTTGGCCAAGCTGCAAAAATCAGCTTATTTTGAGAAGTACTTTTTTTCAAAAGTGCTTTTCTTTGGTGAGAAGCAGTTTGTGTTTGGCTAATTAGCTTGAAAAGCACTTCTGAGCAGCAATAGGTGTTTGGCCAAGCTTTAAAAAAGTGCTTTTAAGTGTATTTTTCTCAAAAGTGCTTCTCAAAAAAGTGCTTTTGGAGAGAAGCTACTTTTTTCTGCTTCTCCAAAACTGCTTATGCTTCTCCTCAAAAGCACTTTTTTTCATTCCAAAAGCTTGGCCAAACACCTCAATTTTTGGCCAAAAGTGCTTTTGGCAAAAAAAAAGCACTTTTGGCCAAAAAGAAGCTTGGCCAAACAAGCTATTAGTCCCAAGCAAGTCGGGGTCGGCTATGTGAATCCCCACTGACTATGTTATTCCATTTAAACTCATTTCATGCCGATATTATGCACACAGAAATAAAAAGTATTAGAAGTTATGTATATTTTTTTTTTCTTTTTGTGTTTGCTACGTACCAGCCTTGAACTCTTGGCCTAATGGTATGGAGAAAACTCCCTCAACCGCTATGACAAAGTTTGGCCAGTAAGTTATGTATATTTTTGAAACGTAAAGGGAATCTCTAAATGCCCTAACTGCCTATGAGCAAAATTTATTTGAAAAGTATCAAACTAGTGGAAATTTGATTACTTTGAATTAGTGTTGTTTGTGATTACATCTCGCTTTCTCCAGAAAGAAAAGAAGATTTATGATTATCTGGAGAAGTTTAAGAATTGTTTGTAAATGGGAAGAATTGCATCAAAAGATAAAAGCCTTCAAATCTGGTTGAATTTTTTCAAAGTGCTATCTTGAATTGAACTTCTAACCCTACAAACATGATGAATGTGTTAAATGATATAAAGTCGATGGTCCAAAATGTGTAGTGAGAAGAGTTCCTACTTCCTACTTGTCTCTAAAACCTAAGAAAGATGCTTGAGCTCATTTCATACGGTCAGATGAGCACATTGAAGCAATTCTTGAAAACTTGCATGATTGGGTCTTTCTAAAAATGGGTAGGATCAGAAATAGTAGGACCCATATTCAGAGATTTGAACCGGTCGTGAACCAAAGCGGTTAGTGTCAAAATCTGATATATTTACGACCTAGCAGATTTGTTCATTTCCCTTTTTCTGGTCGCAAAGATACTGTTCATTTCCTTATGAATCTTCTTAAGATTTTAACTATTCGGTATGAAATGTCTGAAGGTTACAGCTGTTAAAGTTGCATTATCTGGTAGTCAAAATCAAAAACCGGTGTCTGGGATTGCAAAGCCACTCAAGGATCATGCTTTTGCTTCACCAGGGAAGATTGCTGAGCTTCTTCAGAAGGTAAACAGATAGACTTTTGCTGTATCTTTTGTTGAATTAAAGAAAAGTCATTGACACTGTTTTACACAGGTGCCTGAATCAACCAACATAACCAAACAAGTCAACTTCCTACTGATATTTTTAATCAGCAAACATCATGCCTGTTGATTTTTGTTATTCAATCAGATTTCCCCTCTTTTTCAATAAACATGCTGATCCATTTATTTGACACAGGTCAGCACAGCAATAAATGAAGATTTGCCTAGGATATTGGCCAAAATGAAGCTCTATCTGCAGAATTCATCAACACGTGCCATACTTTTCAAACCCATTAAGTAAGATCTCTTGTGCAGTTACATCTATAACAAAACTTGTTTAATCCGCTAACCTTGTAAATCTTGACACTTTAGTGGAAATCGAATTGAGAGTGTCTGCATTCATTTTTGCTTCCCCTTTTTCAGTTGGGTTGAACTTTCTTTCTCTTCTTCCAATCCTGTCCCCTCTTTGTGTGTGTATGTGTTCTCTGAGTAGGGTTTAAGTTTGCAAAATCAGATTGATAAATTCATGCTTTCCGACATGAAAAAAAGCAATTCTCCTTTCTGATGTTCATTCCCAGAATGAGCTTGTTGCTGAAAACTTCTTCCCTAAAGAGAGACAACTTGTTGAAATTCCAGTCTATGGTTTCCTTTTCAATATGTATTTTATGGTCACAAAAAAGTACAGCCTGTGCACAGAAGCTTTAGCGGAAAATGATGGCTTTCTACAAGAAATATCCAATTATTACAGAATTATAAAAACAAACACGCATTAATTTAAATTCTGAGAATAAGGTCATATGCATTGTATTGCAAAAATGTAATAATATGCATTTTCTTATTTTGTACTTTGTATCATCGAAAGGATTCTGAACCCCTAAATCCTTTTTCATATCTGTGCAGGACTAATATATTGGAAGCACACGTTCAAGTGCTATCCCTTCTGAAAAAAGAATATACACCAGAGGATAGACAAGACCTTGTCAAGATGGTCTCGCTACAGGATTTGGAAGCTCAATTAGATAAGCTTCTATAGTGAGCTTCCGTTCTAGAGACTTATCATTTACTGATTATCATGAAACTTCTACATGATGAGCTTCCCAAAGCATTGCTTTCTTCAGCTCCGACTTCTATGATACCAGACTTTTATCATTGTAGAGGTTCAGGATTTTGGCAAACTTTTTGGCATGCTGGTAGTCCAATTCATATACATTGATTATACGGTGATTATAGGTGTTACATGTATAGCTTGATTTTAAAGAACAACTTAAAAAGCTGGCTTTGAGATTTGTCATTATCAGAATTTCCCATTGATCCCCCCTCTGGTTGTGACGGAACTTCCTGCATCACCGTTTGTCAGGATTCAAATTCCACGAAGTTGTGAGGGCATTTAATTCAACCCGTTAGGTAAGCTCAATTAAGAAGTACAACGTTGGTGTGAAGAAAATAAAGAAAATACATCAGCTTGTACAAAATGGTAGCTTGTAATTGGAACGTTGGTACATCTTCAATGTTAGCTTTCTACCAACAGTTCGACTCCAAAATCTATATGGAATGTGCAGAAGTGTAGTATAAGTACATTCGACCTTATGTACTCGGTTGGTACAGTACTAATCCTAACGAAATAAGTTGTGAGGCATAGTCAAAAGATACTCAATTTATATAACCTGTGCAGGTTGGTACAGTACTAATCCTAATGAAACAAGTCGTGAGGCTGTCAAAAGATACTCAATTTATATAACCTGTGCAGCTCATAGGCATTACAGTAATAGAAAAATAACCAAGAAATAGCTAAGAAACAAATGATATCAACAATAAAGTGCTCGATCAGGAAAAAAGTACTCCCTCTATTCCAATTTAGGAAGAAATTCAAAAATAGCTAGATTTACAATTGGTCGTTCAAAAATAACTCAGTTTCAAAAGTAATTGAAATTTAGCTACTTTTCATGTAAAGATAAATCTGAGCGAAAACACTGTTCAAAACCCGGAAAATACGCCAATATATTATGTTGGAGTTCCAGCATAAGTATACTTGAACTCCAGCATAAGTACATTAGAACTCTAGCAACCCGGAAAATACGCCAGTATATTATGCTGAAGTTCCAGCATAAGTATACTTGAACTCCAACATATTATACTGGAGTTCCAGGATAAGTATGCTGGAACTCCGGCATAATATGATGGAATTCCAGCATAAGTACATTAGAACTCCAGCATAATATACTGGAGTTCCAGCAAGTATACCGGTCCATCATAATATACTGGAATTTGGAGCACCGGTGCTCCAGTCTCCAGTATATTATACTGGAGCCAGCAAAGTATACCGGTCCAGCATAATATGCTGGAGTTCTTACATAGGTGCACCAAACTCCAGTATATTATGCTGGACCAGTCTCTGTTGCAGCAAAATCGTGGCTATTTTTCATTGACTTGGTAAACGCTAGCTATTTTTGAATGACCAGTCCAAAAACTGGCTATACCGCGCTATTTTTACTCCAATTTATGTGAACCTGTTTGACTGAGCACGAAGTTTAAAAAAAAATGAAGACTTTTGGAATTTATGGTCTTAAACAAGTCAAAAAGGGGTCCAGAGTATTTGTATGGTTATAAAAGCTTCTAATTAAGGTTAGAATTGGAAGTTTAAGCTAAATTGTTTCCAAATTTAGAAAGGGGTCATTCTTTTTGGAACGGACCAAAAAGGAAATAGGTTCACATAAACTGGAACAGAAGGAGTAATAAACATGCTTTTCTAAGTAACCAGGTCAAAGTATATACAAATGCACCAAATACGCATATAAAGGAGATTTGCATAAAGTAGCTTTAACTCGAATAATTCCACATGAATGTAGAGTGTCTAAGCATGATAAGACCCAATTTCACATCAATTCTCAAATAGCATTTATACGAATGCTACTACATGAGTCTAAGATGTCTGTGTGATGATTGTACATCAGTCCGACACTCTCCAAGTATCCCATAATCTACTAACAAGCCTCATGCATATGTAAAATGCATGAACGCACATATGTCGATGAGAGACATGAATGTTTTTACATGAGTCTAGAATGTCAATGCATGATCAAGAATAAATCATAACCAGTATCCAGCACATCCCATGCGCTCTAACATGATCCATCACATCCCATGTGGTCCAACAAGGCATATTACCTGTGCTCACAGGGCCCAATGTAACATAGGTGATCACCTGACTCCGAAGAGACAGATTCATATTCAAGCGCCAACATAGACGTTCATCGTGCTATAACATATCAATATTACAATAACCACACAACATAAGCCACCGTGCCATAATAATATCAATCTCATAATAATCGCACGACATAAATCATCGTGCCATAACAATATCAACCGCACGGACAAGTTACGTGCCATAATCTCAATCCATATAAGAGAATCATATGCAAATATGTATGCATATGAATAAGAGATAAACATGTATGATGCATGTACACGGAGAAATAACTATGCATGGATGTATGCATGTGTAGAAGAGATGATCTTTATGCATTGCTGTATGCATATGTGTAACGTATGACTACAACTCCAACATGTAATTCATCATACAAATAGCCATCATGTCCAAATAAAGCTATCATGACTAAGAAAACTCAAGTAGTCATACAAACAATTAAAGCATATCACAAGCAGATCATGTACCAAAACAAGGCATAACAAGGCCTAAAATCTACCCCGAGTATGATATAATCTTGATGCCCGCATATACACCCATCACCTCATATACACGTCACCCCCAAACACATAACATGTAACACGTAAGTTTATTTTAGAAAATATTCCCTCAAGTTGAGGTTAAGCAAGATACTTACCTTCTCCGGGCTAGTCTTCAATCCCAAATCACGTATTTTCTTTTGTTCTTGACCTCTAATTTCCCAAAACCTAGCCACATATCACTCACGGGAGTCCAACAATACTAAAGGAAGCACTCCCAATCAATAAAGATTCGATCTTTAAAGAAATTTCAAAAAATTAACAAAAGTCAACTCGGGCCCACATGGTCAAAACCTGAATTCAAGGTTGAATATCATTGACGTAATTGCACGAATCTAAATATTAGTTTCCAAACCCGAGTCCAAATTGGTGTTTAAAAATCCAAAATACACTTTCTTATCTTTCAAACCAAAACCCTCTTTTTTCTCTCTAAGATTCCTTGATTTAGAGCTAAAATTAATACGAGATTCATGTTATAATCATAGATTTGAGTGAGAATTACTTACCCTATCGTCTTAGGTGAAAATCGCCTCAATTCGAGCTCCCTAGCTCCCCAAATATTATAGTAAAGTCCAAGCGTGAAATGGTATTTTATAGCAAAAAGCTAAAATTTCAGCTTCAGGTGTCGGATTCACTATGAGAAGTGAAGTGTCCACACTTCACTCCTCTTGGCCTGCAACAGAGGGTGGACGCAACCTTGGCCTCCACATCTGATGCATTTTTCTGCAACCTTTTTGCTTTCAAACCACTCTCCAAATACCCCGAAACTCACCCGAGGTCCCCGGGACCCTTTCCAGTCATCCTAACTAGTCTGCATACCCTATACGAACTTGTACAAAGTCTCAAAATACGTATGACAACATTAGAATTTAGAATCAAGCATTGAACTTTCTCAAGTCTTCTAGCTTCCAATTTACACAAGATACATTCAAATCATATCTGAGCCCTCCAAGATTCTTCCAAAATATTTCGACAAGTCCAAATACCTTATGAACGTATTCGAAGGCTCAAAACACGAAGCAAAGTGCAATAATACAAAAGGTCAAACCTTAATCAAACTTATGAACTCTTAAGTTCTTCAATTTGCCAACTATCAACCAATAGTGGTGAATCCTTCTCGGGCTATTCGAGACCAAATTCGGACATACGTACAAGTCCAAAATCATCATACAAACATATTGAAGCTTTCAAATTATGAACCCGTGCTCGTTTACCAAAATGTTGACTTTGGTCAACTCTTTCAACACTGCAAGAAAAAGGTTTATTAGGGACCAAAAATTAAGGACGACTAGAAAACCTGGTCCTTAAATTTATATAAATAGGGACAAGATTATTTCTGGCCCATAATTCTATTTCTAGCTAAATTGACCAAGAGACAAAATATGGTCTGTAAAATAGTAAATATCTGGTCTCTACTGTAAAATTAGCGGAGAGACTAGAGAGTGAGGCGCTACCGAAGTGACAATTAAATTAAAAAAACATTCAGCCTCTCTTTTTTACCAAATTAAACCTCTCGTTTGTCAAAATTTGGTTCTTCAAATCCTTGAACCTTTTTTGATAAACTCGATCTAACAATTTATGCTACTAACCCATGTGAGCCCTCTTGTTCTGGAGATAAACTCTGCGAAATCTTCCTAAAAACTCGATCTCCATTGGTTCCATAGCCGACGATTTAGGCACGAAAACTACAAAAGAAATATAAGTCCTTTTCTATCAAAAGATTTCTTCTTCTTTTTTCCTAGTTAAAATTATTTTTCTATGTAATTAATAAAAGTGTATATTTTGTTATTTTTGGGATTTATTTATGAAAGATTGGCGAGGGTTTGCCGATTATAATTTCGTATGCCATTCTAGAATACTAGCGAGAGAAAAAAAAAGGGTAAATCACATGTGAGTAAGTCTAGTTTCCCCAAACCCTGGAAAGATCGAAATAAAATCTCAAATTTCTTCAGATCTAGCTATATATTTTGGGAGTTGGCGAATTCGTCCTTTATTACATTATTTGGAGCATTTAGGTTTGTATTGTTTCCTCTTAGCAATTACTCACCCTACAGCTCGTGATGATAGGACTCTCAACTTTTTGAGACCAAGATCTCGTGGGCCAATTGCGATAATGAAGATCTGGAATTTTTCGTTGTTCTATGTCATGGATGAGCTTTGGGAAAGTGTAGTGATTTTAGTATGAGATACTCTTTTTGGGATTCACTAATTAGGTAAGTATATGTTCATACTTTCCTGAATATGTTTGAGAACTAGATGGAGATGATGATTCTAGAATCTAGTGTAAGTGTCATAATTTGATACAATAGAGTCATACAGTTTGGGTGAAGCTTGAGATTTTTGGTGCTTTCTTTATTATAGTCTTATTGTGAGAGTAATCCAATTAATTAGATTCTGATATTCTCTAGTTCGCACACCACTTTGTTTGGACGATGGTTGCTTCTGTAGTTTTGCGTGCTAAAATTAGTCTCTTTATAGTAGGAATAAGTTGATGCTTGATATCATTTGGATACTCGTGCTACTAGATTGTGCCTTCTGCATCTTCATGGTTCTGGGGGCAGGGGAGGGTATGAGATGGGAAGGAGGAAGCATGCTGCCGGTGGCAAAATAGTGAAGTTCTAAAATTTTGCTCTAGCTCTATTTAGTATTCCTTTTAATGGTTGATAACTTAGCTAATAGTTTGGTTTATGTTTCCAACTGGAGAATATTACTTTTTGTCTTGGTCTACTTGTTATATTTTGATTCAGTTGGTCATACCAAATTTTTAAGGTTTCATTCTGTTCACTTGGCATTATCATTCTTTTACTCTTGTGCTGGCCAGTTACAATTTAGTCATTAACAGTTGTCTATGTCTATATTGTCACTGCCCTTGAGCATTGGTGGGTGAAATCGGCTCATTTTGAGATCAAGTGCCATTTTTCCTACTCTTTAAAAGTCTCAATATTTTAGTTTATTGCCTTAATAAAGTTGATTCTATTATGTATAGTAACGGGCTAGTGTTGAATGAATCTTCGTTTTACAGAAAAGTATGTCTTTTTAAGTAAAAACCACTGCATTAGATTTATCAGATTTTTACTTAAGCATGATATCGATTTAAGAAATGTTAGAGCAATTTACGAGCTGACGCTAATGGTTAATGAATGGTGACTCTAATTATTTTAACATAATAATATAAGTCTGAAGAATACTTTTGATAATTTGAGTAGTAGATTATAGTATTCTTTCTTTCTATCGTTAGAAATTTTTACCACTGATGGAGTAAGCAACAATGGAGCTGAAAAATGGTAATTCCATGGAGGAACTGCCCTTGTTATTGGAGTACTACGGGTATAGAGTAAGCAACATTTCAAGTCCTATCCATTATTCTTTTTTTTTCTATCGTATGAAATTTTGGAGTTCATTCATTTCATTTACAGCGTCCATTAACTTTTGATTCTTCTTCTTTACTGATGCACTAGACATGCCATAGTTGAAGAATTGTTGAGCTTTGGTGCAACGATTTATACTACTCATGAAATAAAAAGTACTTAGACGAATATTAGGAGAAACTGGCAAAGGAAGGGGTATAAATTAAAAAGGTTTACATGTTTCTTGTTATCAGAAGATCAATGGCACCCGTAATTAAAAAAGCCATTGAATACATCAGTGGGAATAATGACATCTTTGTAAGTGAGATACCTTAAATTATCATGAAGTTCATATTGAATATTTAATTGATGATTACTGATCATGTAAGTTCACACTAAATCCGTTAATCTAATGCTCCCCGCATTCAATGACTTGATCAATTTTGTGGACTCTTTCTTCGTTTTATATTTTTTATTTGACTGTGCATCTTTGAAAATTGTTACGTGTTCTGGTTTATTTTGAGATTTGATCCTGTTTATATGAAGCTACTTTTCATATAATTAGCACATTTGATACTTGTTTATGGCTTAGCTTTAAATACCTGATCTCAACATTATATATAGACTAGAATTTGGATCCATACCATGTTAAATTCCAGCTTCATATTTCTTTGTGTTTAATGATCAGTTTATAAAGTTTTGCTCATTTTAAATAATTTATGTCAAGATTAAAAAGAATGTCAGCTTCTATCTAACATTGTTTGTTTGACATTCTAATTTATTATTGTGTATATTTTTTGCAGTCAATTTTCCCTTGTTGATTCAAATTTTGAAGGTGCATATAATTACACTTGATAGAATCTGACATGTGAGCGGTTTAATTACTATTACTCTTAATTTAGATGATTAGCTAATTTTCTACATTACAAGAAAAACGGCCATTAACGACGAGAAATATGGTCCTTAAAAGTCCAATTCTAGTCCCTAAATGTCACTAGCGACCGGAAAAAATTGGCCGCAACCCGTCGTTAAAGGCTCCACCGCCAAAAGTTAATAACGACGAGGTTTCACATCTGGTCCTTAAAGGGAGTTAGCGACCGATAGTATTCCTGTCCCTAAAATACGTTTAAGGACCATATTTTTGTTCCCTAAATATGGTGCTTGGTCATTGTTTTGGTGTATTCGGATTACTGGCGACCATTTACACTGGTCCTAAAAGGTCTTTAAGGACAATAAATCTGGTCCTTAAAGGATCTTTAAGGGCAAGTTCTTCACCAACCCATATTATCTTTTTCAATCCTATTCACTAAAATATGATACAATTTATAATATTATAATCAATCGGATTCAACAAAATTTTCAATAATATCTTTGTTTATTGTTTACACAACCTCTTTGTAAAAGAGTTAAGATCCATAGCAAAAAGTATAAATTTTTGCCTAGCAGTCTTTGCAAAATAATAATCAACTCGTCAACTTGCATGAAGTCTTCAACCTACATCTTGATGTGTAAACTAAGTCTCCAAAACCTGTGAAAAATATAAAACATTCTATGAAAAAGCTATAAAGATGAACTATGCAACTTTAAGCCTCTAATTAGGAACTAAATGTTCCAAATCATTCCCGAATCTCTTGGAAACAAACCAACTATACATGCAAGTCATAAACATCACATGAACCTACTCGAGGTCTTCAATCACAGAACAAGATTCGATAACTCTAAACGACCGGTTGGGTCGTTACATCGTTTATGCGATGTAACATGCAATTCACAGTAATAACTATTCAGTAAATTTGAAATCTAACGTTTGCACTCTTGGTGTCGGATTTTCGTTTTTAACTACCATTTTGGGATTTCAAACTTCGTCTCTTACGCTATGTAATTTTTTTCTTTGACTCACTAGATGTAAATCCGACATTTTATGGCTACTTTATGTCTTTTTAAAATTTATTCTAGCAAATATTATTTTCCACAGTTCCTTATTGAGTAATTTTCCCTAGAATTTGAGATCAACACTCTCGTTTTGCAGACAGTACTGGAATCGAAATAAGTGATAAACATTTACTTTAATATATGAATTGACACAAATAAAAGGATTTTAACGTGATCTACTTGATAGCCACAGAGGGAAACGAAGCTGACACTTCATGCTTTTCTATTAGGTTAATTTTGAGTCGGTCATATTGTGAGAATTGCTAGAATATATTAGTAGGTTGTGATTCATAGGTTTCTAAAATATGAACATAGAAAAAATTATTGATGGGAGTAGATATGATATGTAGTTATTTAGTCAGTGACCTTTTTCCAGTGTATCCACCCCAAAATACATGAGTTTTGAGCATTCAAATGCCCAGAGACCAAGGTGCAAGTAAAGCGATCTCAAAATGTCGACTCTGTAACGACCCGATAGGTCGTTTTAAGTTCTAGATTTCTTTGTCGTGATTTGAGGACTTGAATAGCTTCATTTGATAATTTATGACTTGTATATACGATTCGTTTTGATTTCCATAACGTTTAGATGTGTTTTGATAGAGAAATTCAATTCTAGAGCTTTAAAGTTGACGGAGTTGACCACCGTGAACATTCTCGGTAAACGACCTCAAATCAGTGTTTTAATCATTCCAGTAGGTCTGTATGATGATTTTGGACGTTTACATATATTTGATTTGGGTCCCGGATGACCCGAGGCCATTTCGGTTCTTATAGTTGAAAGTTGGAAATTTGAGTTATGAATATGTGAGTTCTTGAGTTTTGGTGGTTGATTTTTGGTGTTATTTTAATGTTTTGATCTTAAAAGAGAGTTCGTGTAAGATTTATAGACTTGTTTTAATGGAGTCCCAAAGGGCTCGGGTGAGTTTCAGATTGATTTCAGAAGTCTTTTAGAGTTTTTCCATTGTTGGTGCTACAGTCATCACATTTGCGATGACCAACTAGCAAATGCGAGGTTCACATTTGCGAATGAGAACTCACATTTGCAAGGTTTGGAAAGGGAAGCTCAGCTTCACAATTGGAAGTGCATTTGCGATGTTTGCAATTACGAACTTTCACTCGCATTTGCGACTTTAGTGACTTAGGTGAACCTCGCATCTGCAACCACTGGTTCGTATTTGCAAGCTTCGCAATTGCGAACAATATTTTGTAATTGTGATATCTACAGCTGGTTAAAAAGGGGAGGGTTCCAAGATTAGCTCATTTTACTCTATTTTTTTGGACCTAGACTTTGTTAGGAAGTGATTTTTGAGAGAATTTTCTTCTCAAATTCAAAGGTTAGTGATTTTAACTTTATTTTGATTAACTTACATTACCCCCCATAGATTTTTATCTCTAAATTTAGGATTTTAAAGAGTAAAATAGAATTTTAGGTAGTAACTTAAGATATAAATGTTTTGGAGATTTAGACCTCGATTTCAGGTCGGATATCGAAATAAATCACATAATTGGACTCGAGGATGAATGGATAGTTAGAATTTTGTCTTGATTTCAGATTTCGACCAAATAGGCCTGAGTAGATTTTTTGTTAACTTTTCCAAATATGTTAAAGATATAACCTTTTAGTATTAGGAGGGTTCCTTAAGCTTGTTTTGACTTATTTGAGTATTATGTGACTAGATTCGAATTGTTTGGAAGCTTGTTCTAAAGAAAAAGCGGTATTGGATTGTTGATTTATTCCGAAAGAGGTAAATATTATGGTTAATCTTAATTTGAGGGAATTAGATTGTAGATGTCTTACTTTCTATGTGCTAAATGTGTTGGGGATGGCGTATATGCATGGTGACGAGTGTATATGCATTTGTAGTGGGGAAAAACATGCGGGTAAAAGTAGTTTTCTTCATGTCCTTGTTTAATTCTTGTACTATTATATTAAGCTATGTTGGAATGTGAGACTCCTTGTTTATTTACATGTTATTAGCTATCTTTGAGGCTTTGCTGGGATATATGAGCGAGATGGATCTTAAAATTTTGAATTGTGTATCATGTTTATCCTTTGCTTGGTATATTATGCTTACTTGTTTTCCCCACAGTATTATTCATGTTCCTTATCATGTTTGTTGCTTGTTGGTTTTCATGTGGATTTCTATTGAGATTGGGTCGGGTTGCACGCTGCAACGGTATATTGATTGGATCAGGTTGCATATGTAACAATTTATTGGTTTGATCAGATCTCATGCTACAACAATATTGATGTTTGGATCGAGTTGCATGCCACAACACATATGATGTCTTGATCTTATTCCTTGTTGTTGTTTCCCCTTTGTGGTGTTTATTGTTATTCCCATAAACCTTGTGATTTCTTTTATTTTATCTTATACTTTTATTTTTCTCTCTATTGCTAATGCTTCCTTCCTATTACTTACACAAGTTTATATGGTAAATGTTTTATCATTGTCTCATCACTACCTCATCGAAGCTATGCTCGATACTTACCGAGTACATTGGATTGATTGTACTCATACTATACTTCTACACTTCTTGTGCAGATTCAAGCGTAAATCCTAGTGGTTTTAATAGGGGTGACTAGTATTGGGGAGACTCGATGTCATGACCCAAACTCTTACCTGATCTGTGACGTCACATAACATTGCTTGTTAGTCAAGCCATCAATCAATAAACATCAATAAACTCAAATAACAGTATTAAATAGTCTCAACAATAGAATAATCACAAATAACTGAAGTCAATAACAATGATACCACTAAAACCATCCCACGACCTGGTGTCACTGAGTAGATGAGCGCTACAAAATTTAAATATAAAGTCTGATCTCCAAATATAATACTGTTTGAATAATAGAACAATGATAATATAAGCCAAGAGAAAAAGGACTTCAAGGCCGGAAAACGGGAACATCATCTACCTCGAAATCTCCAAGAAAATGGGTACTGGTGCCACACTTTAGTAATCACCTTTCTTGGCAGTACCTGGATTTGCACATAGAGTACAACCGGCCCCATGTACTCAATAAGTAACAAGCCTAATCTTGGGTTGAAAGCAAAGACAAGCTTGGAAAGGTCCAATATTCAATTCCAATAGCCAATAACAACAATAATAGTATAATAATGACAAAAGGAAAGATTGCTCAAGTAATATCAAGTTCGACATCTTCAAAATAAGAGAAGAAATAAGCATGCATTTCAAGAATATCAGTTAATGCATAGATTCTTCCAAAGATATCACCTACATATGGTTTTAACAATTTAACTGTGTGTTTCAAGTTCAACATATCAAATAGAGGCATCAAGTACTAATAAGCATTAGGAAAGAACATAACCCGGTACTTGCATGGCAAGTATACATGCTAAAATCAACAATATCATAGTTAAATCATTAGGTATATCGAATCTCAACACATGGATGGTGCCTGACACTACTGTTCTTCAATCATCACACACAACAACACTCAGCACTGTACGGGTTCCTGACAAAAGTTCCTC